TCTTTCCCTTGTTGATTCCATAACCTATTCACATCACTCACACACCTCTGCAACAACATTTCCCAATCACTCCTGTAATTAAATTACATAAATGGTGCCAATTCTTACAATTCATTCGTCACGTTTACGTGTAACTACATATTTATCCTACGGTCATATTGTACAATTAAAATTTAATAACATATGATATATGTAAATGGTGTCGCACGTTTATTTCCACGTGGTTGAATACTAGTCTATAAAAAAATATATGAACAAATAAAATTAATATATATATATATATATATATTACTTCGCCCATGGACCATACCATGCAATGATTGTCCTTATTCACACATTTTCCCACGGTTGATAATATCTTGACCAATTTATATCATATTCGTCATTTGAAAATTCTGTGTTTTGTCGTAGATCTGTAATTTCTATGATTGAAGACACTAAATGTGGAATTAATTTAAAAAAATTATGAATAAGGGAAGGCTTAGTAAAAAAAAATCCCAACGGAGCAGGATTTCCAGGGAGGAAAAAAGATGAAACCCCTGTTTGGCAGAAAGGAAAGGAAAAGAAAAGAAAAGAAAATTTACCGGTGGGAGAGAAAAAGAGGGAGGCCTGGGAGTGATTCCTCGGAGAAATCTCTCCAGATTCGATCGGCCTTTTGTGGATGACCACCACCACATTCTGTTCTTCGATCTCTTCCTCTGACTCTCTCTCTCTCTCTCTAAAAAAAAGGGATAAACCTTGGCTCTCTCTCTCTCCTCTCCAAGGGACTCTTGTGCTTATCTGAATAATGATTCAACAATCCATAAAACAGAGAGATAGATGTTCGTAGAAAAAAGGAAATCCAGAGATTTATGGTATCATAACGTTAAAATCAACAAAGCCGATACCCGATATCGAAGCCTTATTATTCCCAACGTCGCTTCTTTCCTTTTTCCTCAGATTCTCCAAAACCCAGAAGACAGAAGAACAGAGAGAAAAGAACAGAAACAGCTGTCTGTTTGGTTTCTACTCTGTTATGTTTTGTTTTTTTTTTTGGGTTTTTCTTCGTGGGTTTTTTATTTTTACAAATCCAAAATTTTCGCTTACAAACACAAATCAGAATCTGGGTTTCGAGCTTTTCGATCAGATTTCTCTTCCTTACTGGTAAAACATTTTGTAGAAGGGAAAACCAGAGGGGAGAGAAAGTTGCAGAAGAGATGAATCGACTTTTAAGAGTGAGATTTGCTTGTATTAATGGAAGGAGGAGGAGAAAACGTCTCTCTCTCTCTCTCTCTCTCTCTCTCTCTCTCTCTCTCTCTCTCTCTCTCTCTCCCCCTTAATTTATGAGATAATTAATCTTTTTCATTTCCAAAACCCACCCCTCAGATGTCTCCCCCAGTATGAAACCGAAGACTTTCTCTGTCTTCTTTATTTTTAGATTTAAAAAATAAAACCATATATAAATAAATCAGTGTACTTAGTGTCTGTGTCTATACGTACACACATATGTATATGTGTATGTATGCATGGGAAGTGGATAAAAATAGTAGACATTGTAGAGTAAGGAAATGACACATTGTTGTACCAAACTTCACAGAAAATTAGTATCTAAATCAATTAATTAAGTTGTAATCTTTGAATTGAATTATTAGGCCTAATTTTTTTATTACGATTTTATTCTTTTATTATTTTTGGTAAACCTGCGATCTCTTCTAACTATTAAATTTTATTAAAAAAACAACTAAAAAAATGAGGATTCAATGTGATTGAAGATCACGTGATAATAGAAACAAATAAATATTCAATGATTATATCCCAATTATTCGGTTTGCCCGTGAGATTAAATGTGATTTGATGAGTTTTATTTTTCTTTTTAACGGCAAAGACAAATTTTAATAAACGGAAAGAGTTTATGAAATGTTTTAAATTTAATAATCGTAATAATATATGTGATTAAATTCGATCGGTATATTAAAACGGAAAAATATTATAGATACATTTTTAGCAGATTTTTTTGAATTATTAATAACAACAATGGTGAAAATTTTATTTTATTAGTCCGTTTGCTTAAATCACATAATAAAATTTCCTCACACATGGATATTCTGCTTGAAATTTATTAGGTTATATCTAATGTATAATTAGCATATTTAATACACTAAGAAACTTGGCTAATAAATATCTCTCTCCATATGATATTGTCACAGCATTACAATTTGTATTATAAGAAAACCATTGGATTACATTTTAAATTCTATGATAAAATAAAACAAAGTTACTGTAATATCTAAACGAATTCCTATTTATATGTATTTATACATATAAATATAATCATATTTTAGGTATGATAATTTTAAAGATTAAAAAATAAATTTTAAATTTAGCTGTTTGGATACATAATTTAAAATCGTAAACCATATTTAATAATATTTTCAACTTGGGAGCAGTCTCGTCATATCTTCAAAGAAAATTGTAGTTTTTTTTTTGTTTTTTCTTTATCCTTTGAGATTGATTGATTTGATATAATGTAATGATTCGAAATTTTGTTTTTATTTAAAATTAAAAAATTTTGTATGAATAATTAAAAAAAAGAAGAATATTAATAAAACAAAATAATTAGAAAAATAAAAACAAGAAAAATATTAATAAGAAATAAATGGGAAGAAAATTAGAAAGAAAAAGTCAGAGAAGGTGTTCTCTGTCTCTATTCAGAAGTGCGTTGTGTCGGAGCAAAGGGCTTTCGTGTCGCCGCGTGTTGGGGAAGCAGCGTCGGTCTCTCGCGTCATGTAATCTCTTTTGTTATGTTCCTTGGACCATACCATGCA